TGACACGGTCTGGCTCCTCCCTGTCCCCAGTGACCGGCGGCCCCAGGTCAGCGGCTGCGGCATCCCAGGGGTCTGTGTGAAAAGCAGAAGCCTCAGCCACCCCAGGGATGGAGCCCGCCGGGAAGAGTCCTGCCTGCGGCTCCCACCTGTCCCCGAAGACAGGCCCACGCTGACCCTTGGGTCCTCTAAGCTAAGCACACGGCCCCCACCTCTCTTTCATACCCGAGTCCCTGCCTGTGGAAGGTCCACCAGGGGCATCTAGAGATGCAGACCTAAGGCAAGGCTTCTGGCTTTCATTCTTGTGTGTTTTGAGGCCCCGCAATCATACCCGCCTTGTGAGAGGGGGAGTAACAATGGTACAGCTCCTGTCCCCTGCCTCTGTCTGTCCGATCCTGCACTGGTCCTGGCCTCATCTTTAGGCTGAGTTGGGTAAGCTACTGCCTTAGAAGCATCATGACCGGATGGGGCTGTTGGTTCCGGCCTCCTTTGGTCTCGCTGAACCTGATACTGAGGCCGGGATTTCTGGGTCCGCACTCTGGCTTTCATCTGCCTCCTCTCTGGGCCCAGGCCTCGGTCTCCCCATCTTTGGGATGCTAAGGCTGCTTCGGGGCCTGGATTTCTTGGAGTGTATCAGGGTCAGCAGAGCCGGCCTAGTCCCTCTGAGAGCTGCGTGGAAATTCATAACCTCATTCCAGATGCCACGTCCCTGCGAGGCTGGGTGGCCTCCTGCCAGCCACAACATATGGCCTGGGCTTGGTGTCCCCGAGCTCTCCCCGGACCTCTTGCTCTTCGGTCTCTCTGAGCTCCAGAAGCCCAGTGGAAACCGATGTGCCTGCTCCATCACTGGGAGGAGCTGCACTGCTGTCTGCTCCGGTGGGGACCGGATTGTCACCTCGGCATAGCCAGGGCCTGCTCGCTCCTCCTGCCTCACACCCCTCTTCACACGTGGGGGGCACAGAGCCACCCCCAGCCCCTCCCTGCACACCTCTGCATGCCCCGCACTCTGCGTGCACAGCGGGGTCACTGTCACCCAGGCAGGTCCAGTCCGACAGAGGTACCATCAGCGCAGACCTTGCTCTGGGCCACGGGAAGGAAAACTGTCCAGGAGAGCCAAAGAACAGAAGTGTGCTTTGGACTTGAGCATTCTTTATTAGGAACCACGACTGGACCTTGGCTGTGAGGGCTGGGGCAGGGTGGGAGGAGGAAGACGGGAGCAGTGGAGGGGGAGTGGCCAGGAGCTCCACGGCTGGGAAGCAGGGAGAAGAGCAGACTCCAGGACACACTCCTGCAGGGTTTTTACTGCCCTGAGAATGAGATCTGTTGTGCCAAGCCAAGATCTCCACAGCCTGCGCGGCTCCTCTCTGGGCTCACACCCCCATGGTTCTGGGGCTCCAGCCACGCCCCACAGGGCCTCGCTTCTGCTCTCCTCACTTGCTCTGCCACACTCTGACCCCAGGGCCTCTGCACTTACCCTTCCCCACCAGGAACCCACAAAAGCACGGCTCCAGCTCTGTCTTTCCGGTCTTTCCTCCGCCAGCTCCTCCCTGCTGTACTCAGCGCCCCAGTATGGGCCACGCCCCTCCCTTCCTCTCCGGGTTGCGACACTGCCCACGCATCCCTCCCGGACATGACATTATGGGTCATTCGGTTTATTAATTGACCCCTAGAAGGAAAGTTTGATAGGGCAGGAATTTGCCTTACAGCCAGAGGCTGTGTGACAGACTCAGATCGTGGCCCCAGGGGCCCTCATGCCGGGTTCTTCAGGAAAGGAACTGATGACCACACAGGAAGTAAAGAGCTGCTTACCTTCACCTCCGTTAGGCCTTATCAGCTCCTGTTTTTAATATTTTCCCCACGGCCAGCATCGGACGGGTCTGAAATTGTTTCTTTCATGAGTCATGCGCTCATGATGCTGGTGACATGGGAGGAGAGGAGGGGACAGGCACAAACCGGGGAACCCCTAAAAGTGTGCAATTGCATCTGAGTGATTCAAGAGCACAGGGAGAATCCAGATGTTCACCTTCCCTCTGCTGCAGTGGAAGCAGCTGACCATCCTGTTAAAGGGCGCCCCTTCTCCTGCGGGAGCTCAGCTTTGGCAGAATCCAACCTGGCAAAGGTTCGGAAAACCGGGATTTCCAAAGAACACGCAGGCCTCAGTCTGGAAAGATCCTCACGGGAAAAGGGTGCCAGATGCCTAAACTAAGGGTCAGCATGCACAGTGAAGAGAGTTCTCTGGGAAGTGACTGATGATCAACTGTCTTGCTTTTTGGGGTCTAATCCTGAGGTGACTGCACTTACAGAATTCATAGAATGAGCTTCAAGTCCCTTGAGAATGGAGCGTCTATTTTGGAGATTTTTTTTTTTTCTTGAGGTTTAGAGTTGATGGTGTGGAAGCGATTTTGGAAATAGGAGCATTTGTTTATTACAATAAAGACACCTGACTTGCTGGGACCATACTGCTCTGCAGGTCCCCATCAGAAAAGTCTGGGTCCAACTCTCCCTCCAAAGCTTAAAAAGAACCAGCAATTATACTTGAAAACACTCTCCCACATGAAATAAGAGGGTTGCAGATTTAAGACAAATTAGGCAGCGAGAAAGGAAAACAGAGTGAAACTGGCCGCAGGGAAAATAGATGTGCTCCAGTAGAATTTGGACAAGTGATAGCTGATTGATTTAGAGACTTCGCTGTTCCTCCTCCAGGCCTGGAGAGAGACAGCTTGGCCCACTGAGGGGCAGTCTTACCAGTGCCAGGCCTGTGTTTCCAAGTCCCTAATTACTTGTGTGGGACGGAGAGGCCTCTACCTGGCCACACAAACACCTCAGTTCAACTCGCTGGGTTTCTCCCAGAGATGTCACAGTGGAAGAAAAGAATGTTCTGTCTTTTTTTTTCCTTCCTCAGATCTGAAGGTGATATCACCATGACTAACAGCAAAAGGTATTCTCAGATCCCAGTTTTGTTTTATGAACTGTTATATATTAAATGCTGCCCCTTTGGCAAGAGCTGTCAAAACAGTCTCATGTAATCTTCCCCGGGAGAGAGATCTTTGTGAAGCCGCATAACTCAAATTATACAAATAACTGTCAGGAGTCATTAAAATCAGCCACAGAGTGGGGGTGGGAGGAAAGCCCTGCCTCTGGCTTGATGCTAGGAGAGAAATCAAGATGGGGCATCTGCTTGTGTTGGGGAGCAGGAATTCATCATCATCTGGAATCCACGGGTGAGCACTTTCTCAGTTTTTGTGCCCCCAAAGGAGCAAATGTTGAGTCTGGAGCTCGGGCATGGCTCTGCGAGGCTGCCTGGCCCTGAATTCGGGAGTCATCACTGCCCCTGGGACTTTGGGCCACGGACAACGCTCTCGAGTGTCGCCTCCTCACCCCAGAGAAGGTTCCTTTCCTCCCTGCACTTGCAACCGGGCCTGACGGGGTCTGAATGTGGAGCCCAGGCTGCAGGCTGGGCTGAGTGCTAGGCTGATGATGGGGGACTGTGGGAAGCAGCTGTGGGGCCCTCTGCCCACAGGTTTGCACCCCGATCCTTGAGGTAGGGCAGGGGAGACCTGCCTAGAGCACAGAGGTCGGGTCCCAGCCTTCTTCATGCCGTGGAGCCCAGGCTGCAGACCTGCGGCCTCCCCAGTCAACGGCAGGATCCTCAGGAGGCTCCTTGACTCCCGCCCCCGTGAGGCTCGGAAGAGGGTCCCGGGCCACCCACCTCCTGTGTCTCAACACACAGCTGTGGGAGCAGAGGCAGCTCGGGGGGCTGCAGCCCCAGGAATCCCCGTGACCCTGCCCGGGTGGTCCGCTACTGAATCCCTTGGGTCCTTCGTGGCGAGTGCATCTCAAGTCCAGCACCAGAATGGCCAAGGCTTAGTCTGAGCCTGGAGTCTGAGCCAGGCCAGCTCGCCTCTGAGAGCTCTTCTCACTGGGATGTGTGACTTGAGGCAGGTTCTCAGGAACTGCCAGCAACTTTTATAACAGATTAGAAAAAACTAACTGGGCTTGTGTGGTGGCACACGCCTGTAATACCAGCACTCTAGAGGCTGAGGCAGGAGGATCGCCATGAGTTTGAGGCCAGTTTGTGCTGTACAGTGAGACGCTTTCTCAACAACAACAACAACAACAATAACAACTACGAAAACTAGAAAATGCAGAATGCAGCCTCATCAACAAGAAATGGCCAGGATGAACCTTTTGGTATAAACCATTCTAGTCCTTTCCATTGATACGGTTGTGCACGAGAGTATCAGTATGTGGATCTGTAAAGAGATGTCCATTGCATTTATATTTACGTGTGTATTTCAATGGTTTTCTTGAGATATAACTCACATGCCATACAGCTAAAGGGAACAATTAAATAATATCGAATATATTCACTAATTTTAGAACGCTTTCAGGTCTCAAACAAACAAACAAACAAACACACGCCCGTTAGCATTCACTCCCCTTTTCTTCTCTGCATCCAGCCCCGCCCCGCACACACTGCTGCACCTCCAGTCCATTTCTGGGCTCTCTAGGTCTTGGGCTCCTGTCCCTGGCTTCTGTCTCCTGAGGTGTGGCAGGTACCAGCGCTTTTTCTTCCTGGGGGCAGAATAACATTTGGTTGTGTGGCTACGACACCTTCATTCATGTATTGATCAGCAGTGACTTTTACTTGGCTTCCAGCTTCCAGCATTAGGAGTGGCTCCGCTGTAAGCAGTCCCGTGCATTATGTATCTGTGCATTTTGTGCAAAATGCAATAGACTCTACACTGGTTTGCAACCTGCTTTTTTCACATTGTGAATATTCTACAAAACCATTTGTCCTGGCTGTATGGATTTAAACTATGTAGTAGAACATAATTATTCCGGCCCCAGGTTGTTGAACCTGAGCCCCTCGAATGCCATGTGTCACAAGGGTTCTCTGTGTGTCCCCTCCCTTTTCTCTAGCCCCCAAGGACCCCGGCAGAGGTTGGGGGGCTCTGACTCCTAAGTGACTGGATGACCAGGCGTCTCGAGGGTCCAGATTATAAATTTAAAGGTTTTAATTGGATTTGTTTGTAATTCTAGAATCAGGCAACATTTGATTTCCTGAAATGGAATAAGTGTTCTGAGGAACGCTTGCAGAGGAGGTTGGTTTTAGAGACTGAAGACAAGCAGCTTGATTGTTTCTACATTACTTTCCATGTCAGGCAGGGACAAGGAGCTGGAACGAGAGAAGGGTCACTGGTTGACATCAGGTTTTCTTTTTTGCATAAGAATTGAGAGGAAACTTCATTATCACACCAACTGAAACTGGCTGGGTTGGAAACGTGGCTGTTGTCTCTCAGTCCTGATTTCTCAGAAGGTGAGATAAACAGCTCTGGCTTGGTGATGAGGACTTAGGCTGAGTGACTCCATTTTGATTTTAAGCCTGGTCTTTTGGGGCCTGGTGTGGGATCCTTGTCCAAAGCAATGCCATCCTGTATCCTGTATCTAACAGGACTGAGGCCACCCTAACAAATAACTCTGCTCACCCTGCCCCCCTCAAGCCTGGAATGCGTTTCTGCCCAGTGTCCCAACCCCAGGCCCCTGCTTCCCTCACCTGGATACTCACTCAGCCACGTCCCTGGCCTCTCCCTGACCCAATACCCTCTCTTTCATCCAGGAGCCACAGTGATCTTTGTAGAACTGGGATTTGGCCCCCTACACCTGGCAACTGGGCGCTAGGTGCTGGCTGCTGCTGTCTGTCCCCTCTTCTGTGGTTCCTGCCTCTTCCACAGCCTCTGGGAGCCCTGGTCATGGGACCACCTCCTGCCTTCAGCGTGCTTTCCCGCTGTGTCACTTGGTCCCTCTTATCCCCCCTGGCTGTTGGCACTCACTTCCACCCTCTTCTCTACCTTTTTTTTTTTTTTTTTTTTTTTTT